GTATAGGTTTCTGTGTACACAAACGGACTTAAAGACCAGCTCCCGGTTAAAAAAAAACACGTAACCCTTGCAGTGAGGGTCCCCCCCACATTACACTGGAAGGGTGCAGTGCTTGTTTGTGTCTGGGATCAATAATAACAGATATACTCACCCGATCCTCTGAGCTGGTCAGTTGTGACGGTGCTCTCTGCAGCAATAGTATGTCCCTCAGCATTCTCACATCCTGTACACTGCATATAGAAAATGAATGATGACTCGGGGACCTTAGACCGCTGCAGTGGCTCTCTGGACTGGTCTAAGAGCAAGCTGTCTGAGGATTGGGTGAGTATATAACTTTATTTTGGACCCTAGGCAAAAACGGGCACTTAACCCTTGCACTGTGGGGGTAGCCCCACTGCAAGGGTTAATAAAGCTTTTACCCAGAGTTCTGCTAGGTGGTTTTTATTTTGCTCAGACATAGACTTTTGAATATGTATATGACCTGGAAAGCTAGTTGCCTGGCTATCCCAAATCAAGATCTGCATACTTCTTAGTACATACAGGTCAATGGTTAATAGTATTGATACCTTTAGAGTAGCTTAACAGCCGGGCATATAGCACTCTGTAAAAGAGATTTCAGCAGTGACACATTTTCTCAGTACAGGTTTCATTTCATGTGAATCTGACAACATCGGCACTTTTCCTATCGCTGCTAGAGCTGGTCTTTACAATTGCAGCTATCAGGTGAGGCCATTCTCAGCCTGCCTTTTTAGAGTGCCATGTCCGGACCAGGCTGGACTGCACGTTCTCCATGAAGCACTTGCCATTAGGGCTGCAACAACTAATCGATTCAATTGATAATCGATTATGAGAATAGTTGGCAACTATTCTGTTAGATTTTTTAATGCAACCAATCGATTAGTTGAAAAAAAAAATTGGACAAGTAATCAACGAAAATAATAGTTGGCTGCAGCCCTACTTGACACATCTCATTCTAGTAATCTAGTTTAGTCACGTAGCACTTTCTTGGGCCAGAGCCAATAGTTGGGTTGGGAACTGGAACCCCACCGTATTGGCATAGGTTGCGAAGGGCCTATAAATTCTGTTTCCTGATCGTTTTCACTGCGTAAGAGGTTAACGCTGTAGGAGCAAGTGTTGACGTCATTCACTGGGTATAGTGTTGGCGGTGCTCTGCATTCTTGCTAGCCATTTAGTGTCAAGGAAGCATCTTGTCTCTTCTGCTCCTGCTGGCGGTAGAGCCATGTGGACCTCCAAGCTGGTAGAGGAGATCAGAGAAAGCACAGGGCAGCACGGCAGAGCTGAAGGTGTTCCATCTTGCAGCTTTTCAGCATAGGGCAGGGAGTTGTGTGGCTCTGCTGTGTGCACTGTTATGCCCAAAGGAGGTGAGGGGGCTTCAGAATAAATAGGGAGAGGTGACGTCAGTGTTTGGTGTAACTCCCCTAAATTGGGGTGAAGCTGCAGCCAGAACTGACAAAAATTTTATTTTATTTGAAAACCTCTGCAGATTTGAACTGGAATAAGTGCCATGTGTGCTGGGTTTAATAAACATGTTCATATTCTGTGCACCTTGCTGTGTCACTGCACAAATCAGCAGACCTACCACTACCCTTTTGGCTCTGGACCAAGGTGTCTTCCCCAGTTCCTATGACAGCCTGGTTTCAGGAATTATACTCCAACCCAGTCCCAGGTTTCTTTCCTTAAAAGATCATCTGCCTCTCTTGGGGTCTGTAAGTCCAAAGCATTTGTATAGTATCTACCATTCCTTCCTTTTCCTCAGAGGAACTTACTGGCTTGTGTGGTCAGTTAGGTCCCAGTTTTTCCAGTGCTTAAACTTTTCAGCCTCGCCCTGCACCAAGGTTATCCCTAGTGCATTCTCATGGCATCCCCATTGTGGGAATTCAGTCTGCAGTTTGGGACATCTGATTGTCCAAATGTTTTAAACATTTGGTTGTATTTTCAAACGTTAGTACTGATTATCCTCTCATTGGTCTGAATGTTTCTTCCAGAGGAGAAATCACCGGTCTATCCCATCTCTCATTCCAAGTGTTGTCCACCTTTCAGCTGTTGTATGAGAGTCGTGGGTAACCCTCTAGGGTAGTTCCTCTTGTCCAGTCACACCTTGGACTGTTTTAGAACCACACTTCTGTTTTCATGGGATGAGTTGGCTGACCTGAGCGGACCAATTTGTCTCTCTCGGGTCTGGAAGATTAGACTTACAGCTTTGAAGTTGGGGGAAGTCCTTTTGGAAGATCCTATAATCAACTGCCGACCTGTCAGGCTGAGGATGCAGCACAAACTCCGTCAGTACAGGGGTCCTGGTGGTCAACATATTTTCATCTACCAGTCTACAATTACATTGTCGGATCATCCCCTTGGAAAGTCATCTGATCCAGCATTGGAGTCTAATTGCTGTTGAACCGGAGGCTTACATGAAGACCAGATCTGACCAATTTCTGTCTATGGGAAGTTGCTTTGCAAGTACAACCAATCTTGAAGAAAACCATATTGAAAAGTATCTGCACAGTGCACACATATGTACATGAGGCACTGTTACATATTTCATATTCTTGACTCTTTCCCACTGTACATTGCATTTTCTGGACCTAACTGTGTACTGTGCTGTGTTACATACTCTAGACAAGCCTTAAGCAGAGTGCCTCCACGTTTTCACAAGGCTATGCATTTCCATGGTAAGAAATGATGCTCATCCGGGGAGGATGGATGGATCCTTCAAGTCTGCTCAGCTCCCCATTCCTCTGCCTTGCTGCAGCTCCTGGTATGATGGTAGAAATGTGATCTGCATGGGGGACTGAGGTCATGTGAAGCAGGAACACTAAAGTACAAGTGAGAGGACTCTGATATGAAAGGGATGCTCTGATGTGGAGGGGGATTTGTGCGGTGAAATGGGGACACTGAAGTGAAGGGAGGGAGCTCCTAATGTAAAGTTGAGTTCTGATTTGAAGGGGTGAACCCCATGTTTTGTTTTTGCATAGGTTCCCCCTTAAAACCTGGGCAACGTGTCTTGCGTGGATTTTGGTGGGGCCACATGTAAGTTTGACATTTTAGATTGGGGTGTCTGAGTGTGCGTTCTTAACCAGTTGACATCCGCGGTGTTAAACCCCCTTCCCATCCAGGCCATTTATCTGAGATTGTGCGTTCTTAAAGGGTTACAAAATCTGGATTTTATTCTATATGTTACATGCTCTGCACTGTACCCGTGTGCTGTGCTATATGTTACATGCTTCAGACTGCTCCACTTTGTACGCTGTACTGTAAATTGCATTCTTTGGACCATGTCTCCTGTGCTATATTTTACTGTACTAATCATCACAGTGTTGTCATAGTAATAGAAAACTTACTTCTACAAATCTTTCTGAATTGTATAACTTCATGCCCTTTAATGAACAGGCACACTTCTACAAGTGCACATTAAAATGCAAATATACACCCCTGTTTACACTTGAGAAAACAATTTGTTCTAGAACATAATGCCTTCTGCAGAATACTTAACTACATTTGATAAGTGCAGCAGCAGGTATCCCAAATCTCCTTTTAAGATGTGGCTGCTGTCACCCGTTCCAGTTGGTGACAGTGGCTGCCTCGGTAAGTGGCAGTCATATGTGAGAGGATTACATACGGTTTGGAATAGATCACTTTGGTGGACGCAGGAGCAGGATAGATGCATTCAGGGACATGCTTTTATTCCAAACAGCATGTAATCCCATCACATACAGTGAAATGCGGACTGCCGCTTACAGATGTGGCCATTGTCACCCTTTCATTAACTTGAATGGGTAACAGCGGCTGCATCTTAAAGGGAGAATCCCAAATGGCATAGTGTGAATGAGGCCTAACAGTTTTATATTATAACAGGCCACATCAGTGAAAAGAGAACTCGGACCATTGCTTGCTGTGCCATATATACAACAGATTTTAATTATACTGAAAATAAATTACAGGAAACAGCTTTAAATTTTAAACAGGACAAATAGATTCACAACAAAAATGCTCGTTTTTCTTCTCCACCCGTTGGGCTGAGACAGCAGTGCTCAAGGCAGGTAAATATCACAAATATATCAAAACTTCAGATTGGTTGATGCATTCACACACTTACATGAGCCACAAACGGTCCCCAAGCAGGGACTTCACTTAGCCTACCACAGAACCGGGATTTGGCATGGGCTACAAAAACTTGATACAAAATTGGTATTTATATTATTTATATATCATATACATGCCCTATCTGATTTTGTATAGAAAATAACTAATGCTGTACAGATGATCTGAGCTCCTAAAGCTTTAGGCTATGCTTCTGGATGGACTGTGCCCCACCCACCCCCCAATAAAATGAATGGCATACAGTATATACAGATAGGGGGAACAAAATCCACTGCCCCATCTCCCCTGATATGCTCCTAGGTTATGGCAGGTTTTTTTGTATTTAATCCAAGGCTTTTGCTTTAAATAAAGTTCCTTTGTATTAAGCCATGTCTACACGTGTACTGTATGTGAAAAGGGAACATGTACCAAAGGCAGTGCATTTACCAGGAGATTGCTTTATAACCCCATCTATCATAAATGTCCTAACTATAATGGAATATAAATATTAAAATGTATAAATGGACACTACATTCATTCTTTTTAAAAGAGCATCATTTAACGTTGTGGTTACATGTATTGGACACAAAGGGAGGAAAACGGATTGGAACACAGCTAAGTTGTGTCATCATTTGATGTCAAAGTGCAGAGGCACCACTGATGCACTGACCGTTTCTGGCCACTAGGGGGCAAAGCAGCATCCATGAGTGTGCTAAAAAAAAAGAGCTATGCAGCTAAGATGTGTGGCAGCATTTCAATGAATCAGTATCTATTCCATCTAACTGTAAACTTTGGTTTGTTGAGTTTATTTTTAGAGTTGTCTTTGTACAAAACAAGCATAAAATAGGGAAGGATGCAGTTGGAGAAATGGATTGTCAGTCTGTTTTTAGCCGGGAAGCTTGAGCCACTTGCTCTGTAAGACCTGCCTTGATTGAGTTTGTCACAGTTTGTCTTATGTTTTCTTCCATCAAATTATCACTCAGTGGCTTCAACACCTGGTGTACAAAAGAAGAAAAAACACATGCGGGAAGAAAGATGAAAACTAAACCATAAGGCATAAAAGACATGCAATGTAAACAAAAGAAACGCAAAATGAGGAGATGGTCGAACTTGTGCTCCTAAAACACCTCTCACCCTGTGAATTTGGTTGTGGATAATAAATGAATAGTACACATAGCATATTTCCATACGTCAAGGGCAGGGAACCGGTGACGCTCCAGCTGGCAAAGCATGCTGGGAATGATCAGCTGGAGGCACACTGGTTTCCAGACTCAGCCCTGTAAGAACTCAGGAGCTTGTAATAAGCTCGTTACACCAGTTTTCAGAACTGTCCCCAGAGTAGAAACAAAACGTCTCAGAGAAGCAAAGTAAAGGTGAATGTACGCTTTAATTTTTCTTCTTGTTATTGTTTGATGACCTTCTGTGTCTCTGTTTAAATGAGAACGCTGAGCGAGGCAGTCGGCGTTTACACACTTCGTAGAGTTTGGAAAAGACCTGGAACATGAAGTGGCTGATTAGGTACAGAAAGTCCATAGCAAAGGATGGGAGATGGGAGGGGGGAGGGGAGGGGGAGAAAGGAGAAGGGAGTGAAGAATAATTGAGGCACAGTTCAGTTCTGAAAGGCATGGCTACAGTCTATGAATGTATTCCACCATTCTCTTTTTTTACTAGAAGCCATGGTGTGGTAAAGGAGGTCTCAAAGCTAGACCAGTTAGGGACTAATGTGTAAAGGTTTTGCACAGTGTATAGCTGGAGGAGTGCCACTAACATGACATTACAGCCTCTAGATGGCAGAGGAACACAGGAGATTTCTTAACTCCTCTAGCTCCATCAGTGGCTGATGCCATAAGCTTTCACCTATCTATACACCGGGCAAAGCCTTTTTACAACAGTCCCTAGGTATTATGGTACCAATAGTTGGCATCTAGCTTTACAGGTGTAGAGAGGACAGATTGTAGTTTGTCTACACACCACCCCGAATCCTAAAATACATATTGTTTATTGCCAAGTATTGCCCATACCTGCTTTTCATGCAGGAATTAGGGAGAACTGAATCATACAACGGTTTAGCAATAACTACAGGTGATTCAACTCCTGCAATCTCACCGGGATACTCAAGAACCATATATAATTGTATTGGATGTGCAAGAGCGATGACGCTTTGCATATACACCGATCAACCATAACATTATGCACTATGGGAAGAAGGCAATGTGATGCTTTGGGCAATGTTCTGCTGGGAAACCTGGGTCCTGCCATTCATGTGGATGTTATTTGGCACATACCAGCTACCTAAATATTGTTGCTAACCAAGTACACTCCCCTTTCTGGAAACGATATTGCCTGATGGCGGTGGCTTCTTCCAGCAGGATAATGTGCCCTGCCACACTGCACAAATGGTTCAAGAATGGTTTGAGGAACACAACGAGTTGGGGGTCCAAATTCCCCAGATCTCAATCCAAAGGAGCATCTGTGGGATGTGCTGGAAAGAAGATATTGATCCATGGAGGCAGCACCTCACCACTTACAGGACTTAAGGCTGGGTTCACACCTAGGCGTAGCGAATATGCGTGTTTCACGACGCACGTTTTTACCGCGTTTCGCGGTAAAAAAAACACGCATTTCCGTGGGCTACTTGGCTGTATCCCAATGGAAACGCGCAACAAAAACGCTCCAAAGAAGCTCCTGTACTTCTTTGGGCGTAGGGCGCTTTGTAGCGCGTTCATACGGCCTGTAATTCGCCCAGGTGTGAACCATACCCATAGGAAATAATGGGATTTCGGTGTTTGAGCGTTCAAACGCGCTACAAAACGCCCAGGTGTGAACCAGGCCTAAATGATCTGCTGCTGCTGGCTTGGTGCCAGTTACCACAGCATATCATCAGAGGTCTAGTGGAGTCCATGCCTTGACGAGTAAGAGCTGTTTTGGCAGCAAAGGGGGCCTATTCAATATTAGGTGGATAATGATAAAGTTATGGCTGATCGGTGTATAGGCCAATGCTTAATCACTTGCTGGGGCACCTTCACATCACTTGTAAATCAGGAACGTATTCTCTCCTAGTTTGAATGAACTCGATAGCAGTAAGAACACGGTTCATTGCACATTTTAGGCTTGCACTGGCTTCTTACCAGGACTGATATTTCTATATATATAATATATATATATATATATAAATAAATGACCACAACTGGTGGATCTCTGCATTTTATAGGACAGGTGGATCAGTGGGCTAGATCAGATCGCAGTATGGTTTCCTGAATAGCTTTAGCTTGGACCACAACTATCCAATAGAGTTTGCCCAACCATCCTATAAGCGGCTTACACTCAGCCATTTAGTTTTCTGGGGCCTCTTCCCCCCCAAGCTACATCAAAGATCTGCAGAACAGACAAGTATATGTACCAAATGTAGCACCTATAGGACCGCCGCCACCACATGCCATTCAGTCCTGAACTATACCTCAGAGGATGATGATGATGGCACCTCACCTTCTTGGGACTCCTCTGTGCAGCAGAGTGAAAAGACAAAGAAAAAGGGAAGGAGACAATTGTTATGTGATTAGAAAGATCTGAACACCATTAGCAGGAAAAGGGTAGAGAGCAGAAGGAAAATATACAAACCAACATCTCTCATGCCGTGTGAGCCGGTGTCCTCATACTTACCCTAATCATGTAATAACACAAACAAGAAACTTCTATAGAACAGAGTGAAGAGTTATCTGCTAATGCAGTGCTAGGCAACCTTGGCACTCCAGCTGTTGTGGCACTACAAGTCCTATGAGGCACTGCAATACTCCGACAGCCACAGGCATGACTTCCAGAGGCATTATGGAATTTATAGTTTCAGCACAGCCAGAGTGCCACGGTTGCCTAACCTTGTGCTAATGGATTTGTATTTGTGCCAGCCAGGCTTGTAATAAAGCACCCGAGACAGACAATAATACTCTCTGGTCTATGAAGCCCAATGTAAGCTTTCCATACACCAGTAGAATGCTATAACAATCATTCGATTCTCTGAGAGTTACCCATAGTGATGAGAAAAATCGAAGGCCCACGTTGGAAAATGTTTCGAAATTTCTTATCCAAACGAACACAATTGTAACGGTTAATGTGTGCCTCAGTTTGGAAAAATCCTACTTATTGTTACATGCATGTGCTAGGAAAAAAGGTTCTTCGGAATAAGAACTTTCCTGGTTACAAACATGTTTGTTTAAACGATAATCTATGGTAGAGGAGTGCAGAACAGAACAATACAAAAGGTTTCTGTGTTAAAGGAGAACTATGGGGTCAGTGTTTTTCCCCATAGTTCTCCTTAGGGTAACGGTACAGCTCGCGGTATACTGAGACGCCGCAGCTGAAGCGGATCCCGACATCGATGTTGAGATCCGCCCAGCTGCGTGACTGACAGTTGGCTCTGCCTATCTAGAGGCAGAGCCAGCTGTACCCGCCCCCTCCCCCTCCCCCGTCCGTTCCACCAGTCAGAATTTTTTATACAGCTTCCAAACAAAATAAGTTGAGTCAATGATGAAATCATCGCATGCTCGGACAAACAACTTTTCAGGATTTCATATGAATGTTTGAACAAGATTCTAAGTATGTATGGCTAGATTTAGGAGCCACCCCAGCCTGCTGATTGGACAATGAAGGAGTAGCTGCACACTGATGCCCTCCTGTAAATTATACTTGGACAGCACTTTGCAAAACTAACGAGCAATGATTGGCTTAGATTGCTGCCTTCCGCTCCTTCAGCACCAGTACTGCATTGAAGAATCTCGCATGAAGGTAAAGGCCTATTCACATACATTCTGCTTGTATTACAAAATACATTTATTAATATGTGTGCAGAACTGGACTAAATGATGTATTTTAAAAAAAATTGCCATTTTCAGCTT